GTTTCGCTGCACTGTGGTTTCACCGTTTCCTTTTCCTCTTTCTGCCTGGGCTGTAATTCCCATGTCTGAGGAATCCATCGTGGAGTCCTTTTTGCCACAAATGGCCCCACATTCTCTGGCTGAGAGTTGCTCTGGCATCTCGTCAGAGATTATTTTTCCATATACTGCATGGCTGGAGCATATCATAGACACTTACTGCACTTTGATTATAGAAGTGTGGTCAGTGCAGATGGTCACTGCTTCTTTTGAAGCCATGAAGGGCTTGTTTGACCATGGGACTAGTCCAACTCTGTGGGCTGCATCTCCCTATCTGCGTCAGATCCCATGGGTCACCTCTGGCCCAATGCCATTCCACCCTATCTCCCAGAAAATGTGGTTTAATCTCCCCATTTTTGGGTAAATAAGCCTTGTGGCAGCCAAATCTCCAGCAGACACTCAGGACTTGGATCAGGAAACAGCTTAAATCGCTGCATAGTCAAGGCCAGTTCAAGAAGCTCTTTGGAAGATTTTCCTACTGTTGTGCTGGAAGCTCCTGCTTCCCTTGATTTCTTAGAGGGGAAAAAAAAAGTAAAAACTAGTTTCTGTGCATGACCTGTGGAGACCCTGTGCATCCTGTGCAAGTGCTGAGAGCAGGGGAGGAAAGTAATTGCTTTCAGCAGTTGGAAGGCGTGGGTGGCAGGATGGCTTTGTGTGGTGCTGGAGGACGCTCCGTCCACGCATCCCTCCTAAACAAATACCTCTTCAAATGTGTATTATGGGAATTCAGGGAACAGCTTTTTTTTTTTTTTTTTTTTTTTTTCTCTCCAAGTAGCAGCAAGGCTTATTAGTGCTCTCCTTCCATAGGCGAGGTGCGGAGGCTGGGAAGTTGTGAGACGAGTAACATTTGCTTTTAACAGTCAAATCTGCTCTCTCCTGGACAGTCACTTCAGCCAGTAGGATGAGGAAAGGAAACACAAGGTGCTGGCAGGAGCGTGACTTCTATAGGGGGAAGCATGTAACACCATTCAGCACAGCTACACAAGTGAGCTTTTTTCTGTGCATGTGTCAGTAGGGAGGAATTATTTCCGTGACACTGCTTGGTGCATCCATGCTGAATATGTACTTGTTGAAGAAGATGTATTGTGTGTCACAAATGAGCATGTCAGAGTAACTGTACTCTTTCAGACATGGTGGTATTTGCATGCTGGAAGAGCATTGTGGGCTCGTGCAGTCAACTCACGCATTTTTCCAGGGTATCTTTCATTTGCAGTCTCTGAGATTTCCCAGGGAGCTCCTGCTAAGTAAGGGAGGGTAAGGGAGGTTTCAAGGTGAGATGTGATGGAAGTGGAAGTTGTTCAGATGGTCTCAGAGCTCCAGACCAGTGGGGCTGGGAGAGCAATGGACACTCCAAGCATCTACTCAGATTTAGAGCCACAGAGAAAAGACATAAAGAAAAACTGAATGTGCAGGGGTGTGAAAACGGAGTGAGAGCTGACAGCCCCCAGGCTGTAGAGCAGTGTTATACACAGCTCTGGAGGGAAATGCCTGCAAGCAGCAAGCTCGTAAAACAGAGATTTGGGGAGGTCCACGGGTTTTCAATGGAGCTCAGCTGTGAACAAGACAGAACTGGCCAGTTTGAGAGTGGAGGAGTAAAACTGGTGCTTGCTGGGAGGCAGCCAGCAGCGGGGGCTCTGCGGGCTGGGGAAGGGGCACCCCGCGGTGCAGCTGTAGTCAGGGACGGGAGGAGATGGCTCTGCTCAACCGCGGGAGGGTTTGCTGCCCTGAAGGGGACAGACAGACAGATTTTTCAGTGTTTTATCTCACTGTTGCTGAAAGAGATGAGTCTGTCATTATTTACTGCCATCTGTTAGATAGACAAGAATGGCAGCTGCTAACAGTGATACCTTACGTCTCATAACGTCTTTCATCCTCCAAAACTCGAGCCCCCGAGGGATTTACAAAGACAATGCAACCAGTCTGATGCCTTAAGAAGAGTTACGCCTCAGGCTGGTATCAATCAGTGGAAATTTAGCTGTTCTTTGTAAGCTATTTGCATCTCTGGAAACATTGCATTTAATACGAGCATGTTTATGTGACTGCTAACAGTACAGCCCATGCCCTCTCATGAGCTGTCTGGCCTGTGTACATGGTTATAGGAGGGTTTGCATAATATCCCTGTCTGTGACTAACCTCAGGTGGAATTAATCACATTTTTGATTCAGAAATAAATTTGTCTCTTTTCTTTTTTTATTCCAAATTTTAAAGGCCTGGGTACACATCCACACATAGCAAGATTTAGAGGTGATTAAAGTGAGCTGGGAAGCAGATGTCTGACATCAGTGTAATACAGAACTCCTTCCAGAGGCTTTACCGCTTGCATGGTAATAGCCTGATCTTGCTCCACTGATCCCACTAAGATGAGTTCATTGGGCGGGGGGGCGGGTGTCAATAGAAAATGGAAAGGGAGAAGTGGCAGTACAGTGTGTCCAGTCCTGCGAGCTGGATCCAACACGGTAAGTGTTTTGTGGCTCCTCTGCTCCCGAGTCTGCCAATGGGGTGACCTTGTACGCATCTCCCCGGTTCTTCGTGCCTCGGTTTCATCACTTATAAAATAAGGATAGTTTCACTCACCTTGCCTGCAAAATGGTTTAAGATCTAGTAATAAAAAGTGCTAGGAGGGAGCTTAGGTGATATTACTATTTTATATCTATGAGAATTCAGATACCAAAGTAAATGACACATGCGTGCAGGTCATCCCGTCCCTTGATCAAAATGAGGGCGAGGGAGGGAAGGAGATTTCTTAAGAGGAACAGCCATCTGCCAGGCTTACAGAAGAAATTACTGAAGTGTGTTATCAATAGTTATCAAAACTTGCTGGAGCGGAAAGGATTTTAACATGCTAATGAGCTTTCATCTGTAGTTCCTTGCTTGGGACAGTTGGTTTCCTTTCTGCATTTCTGCAGGCTGAGCAGTGACTCTGCACTGCCTTTCAGTCCCTGCTCAGTGTTGGTTTCTGATTCTCCTGTACTTTCCCAGTGTGGTTTCTGGGGAGGGTGAAGTCATCCTCGCTGAACTATTTCTCATGCTATTGCTTTGCATTGTGCAAAGCGGGTTATTTTAACAAACTCTACATTTTTACAATGCCAAGAAGTAGGAGCGTTGATTACGTTCCTGTAGGCTGCCTCCGTGTCCTAAGGATGTGCATTTCCATTTTATTGTCTTCTATTTTTACCTCGTTTTTGGGGAGGAGGAAGGGCTGGAACACCCTTGGGACAGGCAGCGGCCGTCTCTGGGCTGGTGTGGTCGGGCTGTGGAAGGAGGGACGCGGCACGGCCCCCGGGCAGCCCCCGGGGAGGTGGCACACAGCCCACACATGGCAGGCACATGAGCTGCCCTGGCAGCCCCCGGGCCGCTGCAGGGACCCAGCTGCGGAGAACCCCCCTGTCACCTCTGGCTTTTTAAGGCTCATTTAAGCCCTAAAATAACAACTACCACTCCCTGCTGAGGGAAACCGGCTGGGATTAGTCGAAGCCTCCTATTCCCCGCTGTCTCATGAGACAAGGACTTTCCCCTCTGTGCAAATAGGATGACATTGCTCCCCTCCCCTTCTCCCTGAAGGGCAGCACTGGGCTTCAGCGCACTTGCTCCTGCCCTCTGACAGCTCCTGTGTGTGGTTTTACAGCTCAGGGCACCAAAGACAGTGGGAGACATGTGCTAACCTAAGGAGACAGCAGATGGGTGCAGGCATTTTTAAGAACAGCTGCTGGTGTCTCATTCGATAATCTCATTTTTAACAAATCCATATGATGGCAAAAAATACTGGAAATTAGGTTTTTCTGTCCTCTCTCATCTCCTGAGCCATACTTGACCCGTTGAACATGATCTAGGGATTAAAGGCTTGTTATTTTAGCTTCCTTACAATAGATCAGAGCCTGATCTCTGCCAGGCCATTGAGCTACTGGTGCTTGGCTCTCCTTCTCTTTCCACTTTTTTTGTGTCCCAGGACGTGAGATAGTCCACAGATGTGACTTCTGCTAAGGGACATGGTGGATTTTCCCAAATACTGTGCACTGCAGCACCAGCCCCATGGTTGGTTGCAGCATGTTTTGTAGCTTCCTGTGCTCCCGTTTCTCCATTCTTAAAACTACGAAAACTGCCTCAAAGAATAAAGGCTCTGCAGCATCATCCCTCAGCAGCACAGGTGTGACCAGGAAGAAGAAGGAAGCCCTTGCTCTTCTCTGATGGGGCTATAAACATGCTTTTACGTCTGAGATCAGAAGAGAGAGAAATGGTGAGGCAAATCTAGTCAATGTTGCACTTCAGGCTGAGGTGTCCTTCGTCACCATGGCATCAGTGTGCTCCGAACTAGTAATGAATTTGCCAACACAATACTCCTGCTAATACCCTCAATTCCCAGACGGGGAAGCCGTGTCACTGAGATGCAAAGTGGCTTATCCAAGGTCACCCCGTAAGTAAATGGCACGGAGGGGAAGAGCTCAGGTTGATCGACTCCCAGTGCTTCCCAATGCACCTTGTAGGGGGAAAAGAGCTCGGGTTGATGGATTCCCAGTGTTTCCCAGTGCACCTTGTACTCTCTGGGTAGGTTTTGCTGATAGAAAGGGCTGTGCTGAGGATAAAGCTGGAATGGCCAGCCGTGCCCTCCCGTTCTCCAAACCTTTTTTTTTTTTTTTTTTTTTCCCCCCCGAGGGAGAAAGAATTATTTATTTATTTTTCCCCTAAGGGAGAGAGGCAACAAGCATTTTCCCGGGGTCGGTGGACCCTCTGGGAACGAGCCGGGCCCGCGTTTACCCAAAGCCGTGGCTTTTTCCGCCGCTGTTCCTCGCCCCCGCGGCGACCCCGGGCGGGGCGGGGCCGGGGCGGGGCCGGGGCGGGGCCGGGGCGGGGCCGGGGCGGGGCCGGGGCGGGGCCGGGGCGGGGCGGGCTCGGCGGCCCCGCAGCCCCGGGATGGGGGCGGGGCAGCGGCGCCCCGTGGGCGGGGCCGTGGGCGGGGCGGGGCGCGGAGCGCGGCGGCGGGAGGCGGGCGCTGTCCATGGCCCTGCGGAGCGCCGGGCCGCCCCGCGCTCCGCCGCGCCGCCGAGCGCAGCGATGGGCAACACGGTGCACAAGACCCTGGCAGGTAACGGCGGGGGGGCGCGGGGGGCTGCGCGGCCCCGCGGAGGGCTGCGGGGCGGTGGGCGCGTCCCTGTCCCGGGTGATGCTGGAGGGGGGGGATTGGGGGGGGGAGCGGGGCGCGGCGGAGGGACCCACCCGGGCTCTGCCGCCCGTGGGGCCGAGCCCCCGCGCCCCTGAGGAGCGGCCCGAGAGAAGCTGAGTATTTCGAAAATACTCCTATTATTATGGCTATTTTCGATGGTCCCCGCCGCGACGGGCACCGGGGCGGTGATGCTTGAGCGGCGGGGCACAGCTTCGCCCCTGTGAGAGCGACAAAAGCGGGTGAAGTGGAGCTGTTCCCGCAGCTGAAGTGGTGATCTCCCGACTTTCAGTCGAGTCCTTTCAGGGGCTTTCATTTTTTTAAAAAAAAAAAAAAAAAAAGGCAACTTCTGAATGTGGAGAGACATTAGTTGTTCAGAGTCACCAGAAGAAAACTGCTTGAAAGCAGGTCTGAAATGTTTGCAAGACTGCCCTGGTTTTAAACTGCCTTTTTAGCGAATTCTGCTCTTACACAAGAGATGTACAGATTCTTTTCCTTTGCAAGTTCATAATTGTGGGGCTTTTTCCTCCTCAGAGAATCAGTGCATAATAAAAGCAGTTGGTCTCTATAGAATCAACAGTATTGAATTACTGAGCCCTTGCCAGTCTGTATCTTCAGCTAGTTTTCTTTTCTTTTCTGCCCTTGCAGAGCTCCTGCATTGCATCCTTTGTACTTTAGGCTCCCGTAAATAAAAAGGGTCTTATTAAACTTATTTAAAGAAGCAGGAGGACCTATTGAACACACGCACATGCCTCCCTGTAATCAGCCAGGGAGCTGAATATAGAAATAAAGAGAGGAATAGATTTGCATTTGGATGTGCCATATATTGTCTTTGCAAAGAGAGGGTGCTTGGGACCTTCAAGGCACAAAAGAAAGCTGCTAGGCTCGTGGTTTAGCTATGAACCTGTGATTAGATTTCTAGTTGCATCTCCTCTCATTCTCTATTACATTTAAGTGGGAAATTAGCTCCTTTCACAATAAGGAAGTTTTCCTTTTTTTAAATACCTCCCCAACTGGCAAATAAAGGCATTGTAAGGAGTATATGACCTTGGAGAAAATTCATTTTGTGGGTTGGCTTTTCAGCTAGAGGCAACATCAAGAGGCACATGCAAAAAACCTGGGAGAGCCAGGGAAATATCCTCAGGTCAGGGGAGGTTGGCTTGGTAAGGCTGGAACTTCCCAGAGAAAAAATATCTGTACCTGCTGGGACGTGGGATCTAGCTGTGAGCTCTGTTCCAGAAGGCTGAGTTGTATCAGACGTTCTGCCTATTGCTAGAACAGTCTCTCCTGAGCAGCCTTTATATGCACAGCCTTACACACGTGAATTTAAAAAAGGGGATGACATCAGTTGTACTGCAGTTGTGTGATTAGAGTTCCTAGCGGTGCTTTCAAAAGAAGTTGTTAAGAAAGAGGAAAAGTTCGATGGAAAAAACTGGAGACTTGATTTATGTAGACCTCCCAACTCAGATGTTGTTCTGGTGGCCTAGGAAATCTCCGTCCTGTCCTGCCAGGTGGAGACTGTCTGTAAGGATTGCTTTGCTGGGGAGAGTCCATTTGCAAACATTTGTCAAATTGCGCAAGGCAAAAACATGCAGGACGCTTGAACACCATTTGCTAATGTGCTGGAAGATGCTGAAGGTGTGTCTTTTCCCCCAAATTCAGCTGTGTTCAGTTTTTACATAGTAATAACAGTCAAAAGAACCTGTGGCTGTAGAAGAGATTTTGGATGTTTGCAATCTGGAAGTTTAAAATGTATTCTGTCAAGTTGGACAAAATTCAGCAGTTTTTCATACTGGTGTGCTCGGATGCATTGTTTGTCTTTCATTATCCAAATGGCATTATGGAGGGAAGCAGGTTTAGAACTTCTTGGAAAAGTCCTTTTGAAAATGATAAAGTTTTTCTGAAAGACTGAATTGTTGGATGAAATCCTATTTATAAATGCTATGGCTGTTTAGAATTACTCGAAGATAATCAATCAGAATTAAGTCTTCCCTCTTTTTTGTTCAAAATGCACCTTTCTTCAATCCTGCAGACTGAGCAGCACACTTTCGCTCTCATTTTAGCTAGCAGAGGAATTGCTCTCCCCTGTCCCATGGGCTGCAGTAATTTATTTAAAGAAAAAAACAAACAGAACACCCCCAAACTAAAATTTGCCTACTTGTTGTGTTAAATTGATTAACTGTAGAAGCCTACAGATGTTGTTTCCCTTTTGTCGTCTTGTTCACCATAAATAGCTCAGGTTGGAAAATGTCTTTCCATTCTGATCAAATGCAGAGGAAACGTGGAGGGACCTTCATCATTTGGCTCCTGAAAAAGTCAAACAATCAATCATTCAGGTTTTATGTAGAAATGGAAACACTATTCTCAAATAGTGAAATTCAATTTCAAATCCTATTAAATGCAGTTTAACTAATTTTTATACCTAAATTTGTTCAAATGTGTTTTCTGTGCTTGTTGCATCTTTAAATCCTTGTACAGCCTATGCCTTTCTCTCCACACTTCCATGTAATGATACAAGAGCACATGCTATCGGTGCCGGAGAAATTTGTATTGGGAGCTTGGGAAACGTGTGTTTGCCAAGTATCTGATGGTTAACGCACAATGGATGAAGGCTTTGTCAAATTAACAGCGAGGTTTCTAACCAGAGTGGTACTGAAATGAGTAATAGGCTGGGGCTAATGAAAAGCAGCTTCTATATTTGAACTGGTTGAGGAGGCATTTGAATGGAAAGGAGCTGAGATGTGTCAGATATGCTTAACAATGGTCCTGAGGTGGTGGTGGAAATCACTCTTATCTAGATGACAGCTAAATGATACATGACACATTCCTCCAGCAGGAGGGTTGCCTCCTGCCTGGCCCTGCGGGGTGAGCAGGACCTCCTCGCCTTCGGGCTCCTCCACAGTGCGGCCACCACCGCTCGGCGCTAGCCCGTTGCCAACCCTTCCTGCATCTCCAGTGGGAGAATCTCCCACTGCACCTCCAGTGTGCAATGTGGGATTTTATGCTTGGATGTCGATATTTTCTTGCCTCCCTCCCCTTACCACTGCCCATTGTTTGAGACGATGTGCGGGCAGGTGGTTAGGCAAGAGTGAATTCTTTATAATTAAGGCACGCCGTTTTTCTGTCTCCTACAGGTGATAAACTAGGTGTGCAGCATTGCAGCTGATGGGCGGAACTTGTCCTGACCTGCAGAGTGGGCTGGGAGGCCGCGTGGATGTTTGTGGTGGATGGGTTGCATACCGACATTGGGCTTTGTGGTTGTTCTTACCTGCGCTGCTCCGCAGGAGTTGCTCTCTTGCATTAACTTACTAGTGAGAGAGGCAGCAAGTAGCACACATCCGCACCCCAACGTTGTGGATGGTGCTAATTTCTCCATGGTAATTGCTTTCCTTGGCAGACACTTTGAACAGGGCTCATAAAATGGTTAGTAGCCAGATGGGGGGCACGAAGCCTCCCCTGAAGGTGAAGGAGGCCCGTGGTACTTGAGGACTCGTAGGCTAGGAGAGGTGAAAATTCCCCTGGCCCAGCGAAGTCCTTACATGGAGCTGCAAGGTGCAGGAAAAAGCGAGGAACAACATCTAGGAGAGCTGGGCAGGCAGCAAGTGTCCTTGCATGCACGGCAGCTCGTCGTGGCAGGGTGAGCCTGGACAACTGCTGCCGCAGGCGGGCAGGAGGCACTCACTGCCCCCAGCACGAGTAAAGGACTTTCCAGTTGGGATCCAGTTGTTGATCCTGGCCCAAATAGGGTCATTGGTATTTAACAAAGGAGTCAAATTCCCTTTTAAGAATCTGTCTGGGATCTGATTGCAGTGCTTCTCCCACAGCCTTCCTCACAACTGTGAGGAATACCAAGTATGAGTGGCATTTGTGTCTGGTAAATACAAGGGAGAATGGGGCTTCTTCTGGCAGAAGCGACTTCAATTTCTTATTTTCAAGAAATTTATTTTGTGTTCTTAAGAAAAATGCTTTTAATAATTAACCCTCTCTCTGCAAGTCAGAAATCCCAAGTTTAGACCTTCACTAGGCTGATGCTCCCATCTGCCAGTCTTTTGCACAACAGTGATGGTCGTAGGGTCCCTAGAGCAGCAGGAATTTATAGCTTGTGGGTAGAAGATGATGTTTCTGTGTATCCTTTTAAAAATACTGATGCCTATTATCTTAATATACATGCTTCTTTTGCAAGAAACGAGTAGCAAAGACCACGTAGTCTTTTCCAGGTGCTAAAATCTCAGTTTCAAGGAGCATTTTTGGTTTAGATTTTTTTCTGTGGTCCCTCCTTCCCCCTTAGTTGTTAGTGATACGCTGTAGGAGGAGTTCTCGGTATTGTCAGTAGGGGATCAGTTCAGTAAATTGTTTGGTTTGGTTCCAGTCTGACTTTCAACAAAACTACAAAATAACACTTCAGGTTGTTCTGGTTTGAGTGAAAAAGGTACCTGTTCAGACCAGTTTTTGATTTGGGTTTGGTTCAACTCTGATCAACACCGATTACAGGTGTTAATCTTGCCTCAATAACAGCCCTATTTCGCCTGGTTTTCCTACCTCTTTTAGTCTAAGGGTTGAGGTTTCTAGGGTCTCTCACTGATTTTGCTGCTGACTCCCCGCATGACCTTTGAGCAAGTGGCTTTAGCGTAGTCTTGCTTTGTATGTAAGGGAGGTAGGAAACACAGTTTCCCTCACACAGGTATACAAGAGTTAATTAATTAACATGCAGGGATGAAGTATCTTCAGGAAGAAGGTTATAGAAGTGCAAAATATAGATTAATTTGCTGCTTCTTTTGTAGCTTTCTGCTTTTCCACTCTTCAAAAGGAAACCTGTGAAACTGCTCAGCCTTTGCAGTGTTTTAGAGCTGGAACAGGTTGATCGTATACTGAGGACTATCTTTAACCAGCCTCGCACAGTACATACCCAAAAATGTGCTGCAGCC